CTGGCTCTGAGAGAAGGACCCTCTCCAACCAGTGGCCTTTAGGAGCAGCATCTCCAAGTAAGCTTTGCAAATGGGGAACCCAGTAGCTCTCATTCTGATAGGCTGTTTTCACATAAGAACAATGGCCTGGAAGAAGCACAGGCTCCTGACACCCAGCTCTGTAATTTGCTGAAGCTGGATCCTGTTCTGCTCAGAGGGTCTGATGGTATCAGCCTCTGGAGAATCAGTGTCTGACACTCCCAGCCTGTTGTTCATATTGGTTTGGTCTCAGCTGAGCTATTTCTAACAACGAAGAACATATCTGAGAGAGTTACAATTTGCTGTAATCATATTTTTCCAGTTTTTCTCTGTGATAATTACTCCCATAAATATCATTGCTTCACCTCAGCCCAAGAGAGTGCTCTCTGTTTCTGTGCTGAGCCTCACCCTTCCACACCCGGACTGCTGGGGAAGGACAATGACAGCGTTTGTTATTACTAGGACCACTCCAGCTATGGGGCTGCTGGGACTTCCAGCCTTAGTCCAGTTTCTGTCCTGTATTACCTGATCAAAAATTGACATCTGAAGGTAAAACTGATGCAGAAATGTGTTAAATTGTGCACGTTTGCGTGCAGTAATATGTAACGAAGTTCTGACTTGGTTGTCAGCCAGGCAAAGACTTGAAAACCAGAAGTCAAGGTGTAGCTTTGCAGTTAGTCTCGGACTTTACTGCTGGCCCCTGGATTTAGTTTAGTAATAGAGAAGGATTTTAATGTAATCAATGGGCTGCAGATCTCAGGAACTCTTGCTCCTACTGTGCTTACAAATGGCTTTTATGATAGACCCTTAAAGTAGACTTTATAAGTGTAGGGACTATGTTTAACCATCAACTTCAGGGTCACAGACACTTCTGGACTTCAGAGTCGTACCAGGAGTACCCAGAAAAGAGGCACTTGTTCTGACAGTGTAACAATGTGAGTAGGTATCTGGGAAGGAAAAAGAGGTGACAACAAGACCAATATTGCTGGCCTCATTTTAAAGCTGGTGAAATGTGGCAAAAGACTGAAGGATTCACTGAAGTTACCTCTGTTGCTTATAGCAGATGTGGTGTTCAATGCAAAATGTCCAGATCTGTAATGTACCTTCTTAACTACAAGGCCATTCCTCCCCTCCAGAAGATGATATATAGGTATATAAATGTGCATTGATGTAATGCCAAGTTATAAACCACAAGCCTTTCAGAACTCATGTCCCTGATAGATTGCGAAAGAACTTGAAGTCAGAAGAATTGTGGTTTGTCTGACCTTATGCTAATCATTCTCCTTACTTGTGTCTTGGTCAAATAGAAAACGGATAGAATAATGAACCCTTTTGAAAACCTTCATTTCTGGGTGTTGGTCACGACCCAGTTTTCATAAGTTGCTAGGATATGGGGATAATCAGGGAAATGAAGATTCTATCTTACAAGACAAGACTGAAAAGCTTGATTTAAACAAAAGAAATTATGAGAAGGAATATTAGTACACTGTGAGGGGAGTAAATATCAGAGCTAATTAAGTTCAAGGACAAAATTGGCATCTGAACAAATGGATATAAACGGGGCCCTAATAAATGTGGGCTGGAAATCTCAAGAAGCTGCATTATGAGATTCTGGAACAGCTTTCCAAGGGGAATAATAGGGCCAGAGAAAGTAAGTGCTTTTGAAATGGATCTCCGTCAGTTTATGAACTGGATATCATGCCCCAGACAATCAGAGAGCTAGGCTCTCAGGATAAACAAGTCCAGTGCTCCTAGGTAACAGCCATATTGGTGCACATCCTCACAGGATCATTTGGGTTGGCAGGGCCCTCTGGAGATCACCCAGTCCAACCCCTGCCAAGGCAGGGCCACTCAGAGCAGGGCACCCAGGAACGTGTCCATGGTGGGTTTGGGATGGCTCCAGAGAGGGAGACTCCACACGCCCCTGGGCAGCCTGTGCCAGGCCTCTGACACCCTCATGTAAAGAAGTTCTTGCTCATGTTGAGGTGACACTTGGTGTGTGTTAGTTTATGGCCATTGCTCCTTGTGTTGTTGCAGGGCATCACTGGAAAGGGCCTGGCCCCATCCTCCTGGCACCTAGCTTTGAGCTATTGACCTGCATTGGTGAGATTCCCTCTCAGGCTGCTCTTCCCAGAATAACCAGGCCCAGGTCCTGCAATCTCTGCTCATAAGAGAGATGCTCCAGACCCCTGAGCATCCCTGTGGCCTCCACTGGCCCCTCTCAAGCATCCCATTGTCTTTCTCATACTGAGGAGCCCAGCACTGGACACAGCGCTCCAGATGTGGGCTCACCAGGGTCAGTAGAGGGAGAGGAATCACCTCCCTTGACCTGCTGCCGCACTCCTCCTGATGCATCCCAGGACACTCTTGTCCCTCCTGGCTCAAGGGACAGCTCATGGTCAACTCATCATCCACCAATACACCCATGTCCTCCTCAGCTGAACTGCTCTCTGTGGGTCACCCCCAACCTGTGCAGGTACCTGGGGTTCTTCCTCCCCAGGTGCAGTGCCCTGCACTTCCCCCTGTTGAACCTCATGAGGGTTCTCTCCACCCGATTCTCCAGCTAGAAAACCTTGGGGATATTCTGTAAGAAAGAAGTAGGCAGCTACAGTCTGTCTCAAGCTCCTCTGGACTTGCTCCAACAGCTCCATGTCCTTCTTATGTCTTGCACACAGTGCTGCAAGAGGGGGGTTCACACGAGCAGAGTGGAGGGGCAGGATCCCCTTCCAACCCCACCAGCCAAAGCACTTGAGATTTTCCTCAGTATTTCCAATTAATCCTTCCCCCTCTGAGGTGCCGGGGTAGGAATACAGCGGGGGAGAAAAGAGGGAGGCCTGCGTCCCCGTGCGCGGCCAGCAGGGGGCGCCGCAGACCCGCGCCTCTCCGCGCAGCTCCGCACCGCTCCGCGCCGCGCAGGCGGGCTGAGCCCCGCGGGGCTGGCGGGGACAAAAGGGCGCTGTATGTCCGCCTCTGCGGCAGGGTAGGGTGTGCGGCTGCTCCTCCTTCTCGGGTAGCCTGCGCCAGGGACCGGCTCAGCCGCCCCAGCAGCTTCCATCTCCGCCCCGCTGCGAGGAAACACCGTCCTGTTGTTAGCGGCAATAGGGCAGTGGGGCACAGGCAGCCCACGGGAGCTGTGAACACGGGGTAGAAAGCGGGTCCACACAAACCTGTGCTCAGGTGTGCTGGGGGAACGAAAGGGAGCGGCCGCTTTCTGTTGGGCACTGCTGGTTCTGAATCACAAGGAACAATGAGTGGATGGCTTTAACATTGGGGTGGTTTTTTGTTTTGGCGCGGCGTTTTGTGCAGTACCGGGTGGTGCCCGAAGCTCCCGCTGGACCCGCATCTTATCCTTTGGGATAGGGGCTTGGGGCTGGGGGAGGAAGGGAATGATGTAGGGTTGCCCCCTCGCAGCCCGCCTGGCTTCCCCGGGACCGGGAGCGAGGGGAGGCAAACTCTCAAGTTGTGCCCAAGAAAAAGTTGCCCTGCGAAGGGAAATCGGGCGGGATCCCTAGCGCCGGCACCCGCCTGGCCCTGTTTGGTGTTGGGTTTTTGCCTTGTTCCTCGGCTAACCCGGGGAAAGGGTAGACTTTGCCTGGGAAGTTTCCCGTAGTTGAATGGAGAGAAGGGACGAGAGCAAACAACGAGCGGCACCTCGCCTTGTTCTGTCTTCTGCTCCCCTGGCAGCGGTTGGAACTGGGGACAGGCGGAGCACTGCTCCGTTCTGGAGCCCGCTCTCCTCTCTCGTAGCCCCTCCTAAAGCGACGCGCCCCAGCCCTCGAGTTGCAGAAGCAAAACCAACACTTAAGTTCTTCTCCGAGAAGGGGGTCCGGGGAGCGCTCGCCGCGGCTGGGCCCTGACCTGCAGAGGGCAATAGTTGGACGCAAATGCGAACAAAGGCAGGGAGGCTTGATGGCTCGGCACTGTGGCCGGGACCCAAGAATGCCGTGTAGGTAGGCAGCAGTGCTTAATTAATGTATATTGAAACAAAAGATCGGGTAAATTGTTCGATTTGTCTTTAGGCTACATTTTCAAGGCTAATCTAATTCATAACTGTTACATTTGTTCTAAAAGAGATTAACACAAACTTCCAGGAGAGGCAAGCGGTTAACTCCAAAATTACCCCCCAAAAAAACTATTTACCGGAACATTTACGTTCGTATTTTTAGCGTTATTATTCTCTGCTGAAGGGATGGGCGAGGTGAAAACGGACGGCGGTGACGGCAGCGTCGCGCCTGGCCATTGTCTGCGGGGCCGGGTTGCTGCTGTTCAGCACCACGCGGGCGGACAGCGCCCAGCCCCGCTCCCCCTCTCGGCCCCGGTCCCGGCTCCTCCACCCAGGTCTGGGAGGTCTGGAGGGGGCTTCGCCTCCCATTGATGCTGGCAGCCTTTCCTCCCCGCTGCTGATGGATTTATGAGGGAGCGGAAAAGAGCTCCCCGACGGGCGCACTTTGTCTGCCCGTCTGTGCGCGTAGACGCGGCTGCCACTGCTGTAGACGTCTGCGGCTTGTGTACATACAGCGCTTTAATAATTGCATATATGTCTCCATAACCTCATTATTCAGGAAAGACTGGAAAACGCGACCAAATTGGAGTGTTGGCCGCAAGGGTGATTGCAGGTCTGGATGCACACTCTGTCTCTTCCCAACTCGCCGCCCCTTTCCTTCCCCCCCCCCCCCCCCAAATCATATTTATCTGAGATCATGTCAAATTTCAGTGATCGGAAATGTCTTGCCCAAAAGCCATTCCCACTGGAAAAAGTCAAAAGGGTTCCTGGCATTAAAACAACCTTGCGTCATTCCTGATGAAATTAGCAGCGCTGCATGTTTAGAGCTTTGCTATGGATGCACTTTGGTCATAGTAAGAAGTAAGAGATTTGGGGTTTAACACTCCCCCCATCTCACCAGGAGCCATTGGCTTTCACTAGCTGAGCATCCCAAGACCAATACTCGAAAGCACCTCAGCCCCACAGTCCATTTTTTCCTTGTCTTTAAGTGCAAGCGATGGGAATTGCTAACCTTGGCTAAGAAAATTTCATTTCCCCCATCATGCTAAATGGTTCTGGTCGACATATGTTTGTTATCAGAGAGAGGTGCTATGAACACAGAGCCATTTTCTTAGCAGCTCTTTGACTCTGTGTTACCATAGTCCCACACGGCATTGGTCCTTTCCCGTTGGGAAGTCATGAATAAGAGACTATGAAGCTTGCACGTCAGATCTTCCTCAATTAATCCACCATTAGCATGTTTGGGATCCTCTACTGGATGGTTAACAGCAGCTTTGGTAACTGTATGCTGTCCATACCCAATTATGCTCTGCTAAAAATGAACTCTGCAGAACAACCTTCCTGAGCTGTCAGTGTCTCCCGTTTTCCTATTTTAACGCTTGTGTGTAGTGGCAGGCGACAGATGGTGTAGATCAGATCGATTTGATTGCATTAGGCGATTTTTTTTTCCTCCTCTCCCCCCCGACTCCTTTTCTGGAAGCCCACATTCATCTGAGAGGCGATCGCCGGGGACATGGGAAGCAAGAGCAGCCGCCGATGTGTGAAAGCAACGAGACATGGCCAGCCAGAGGCGCCGGGTCCCTTCCCGGGGTTTGTTAACATGGTAATCCGGCACCAGGAGAGAAAGCTGCTTGCTGCTGCCCACAGCCCGTTCCCCATCACACATCAGATGACTCCCTGGTTTTACACACAGTTGGAGTTCTGCTCGAAGCCTGGATTTAAAGGGTAAGCGCTTCAATAGAGGTGGATTTCTGGTGGTTACTCGGGTAGGTGGCAAAAGGAGCAAGCTTCCAGCGATTTTAGGAGGAGGCTGCCTTTGAGCGGGCGTGTATATTTTCTTCCTTCCTCCTTTCCTTCTTTCCCTTCCTTTTTGGTTTGATTTTTAATTTTTTATTCCCTCTTCCCCACACCTCCCCACTGTCCGTCCGTCCCCCCCTCCCCCAGTTCAGATCAATTTCTCGCAACCCCATCGTGCCTCTCTATTGACGGATGGGCTCGGTAACCCACCCCCCCCTCTGAAATTCGCTTTTCGTGGCAAACCCGAGCTCTGCTCAGAGCTCCGCTGCTGATAGCTTAATTGTTTAATTCCCTCCACCCGTTCTCCTCCCTTCCGGCCGCCTCCCCGCCCTCCCCAGGCACGGCAGAGGCGGTGGAGGTTCCCCCCGGGCCCTTCCCCGGCCCCGCAGTGCTGGGGCTCCGGTAGCCGGGCTCTTTCTGCGGGGAAGCGCCGGTAAACATGGCTTTCGGAGCCGGTGAACAAAGGTATTTAGTGCCGAGGCGGCACCTCCCGCATGCAGCGGGGAAGGTGCGAGGCGGGCAGCGCGGCGGGGGGTTCGCTCCCCCGGTGCTCAGCATGCCCGGGGGGGGGTAGGGTGGAGGGGAGGGTGGAGGAGAAGGGGGGGGGGGGGGTGCGATCGGGAGCGCCGGTACCGGGTTGGGCGGGGGGGGGGCAGGGACCCGCCGGCGGGAGGAGGTGCGGAGCGGCGTGGGGTGCTCAGCGCTGACCGGAGCTGTCCGCAACCCCGGTGCTGAAAGGCCCGGCGGGTCGGTGCGGGGCCGGGCAGGGGAAGTTTCAGCAGGCGCGGTATTGGTGGGGGCTTGAGGGAGGGGATGCTGTTCAGGGGAAGGGCAGTGCCAGACGGACAGAGAACCGCATGGATTTCCCCGAGAATCGCATGTTTTAATATGAAAACACCAAAAAATAACCCTCAACACCCCAAAGTTTGGATTTTTGCCTAATTCTTTTGTGGAGCGGCTCCAGATTTCGGGGAACATCGGTCCAGGTGTGCCGCCGTAGAGTGTTTTCGCCACGACTCGGTGCGTTTTACTTCTTTTCAAACGGCTTTTGTTCAAGTTGAAGGAAAGCCACCGCAGCGGTTATTTGAGTTGCAACGGCAGCTAAATGGGGTTGCAGCCTTCAATTTCACAGCGGGGAAAAATGACAGTGTTTGGTATTTACTTTCCAGCTGCCATTTAGAATACGACTTGAAAGCTTGCTGTTAGAGGAATATAGGAAATTACACCTAAAATGAGATTAAAATAGAGGAGAGTGAATGGGATTAATTTTTTCTTAATTTAAGATTGTATGGCTATCAAAGTATTTTTTTCTTTTTCCCTTTGTTTTTCTCTTTTCTTTCAAATTCAGAGTCTGACTTACTAAACACATGCTGTCTTCTCGTATGTTTTCATAGGAAGAATAGTGGTAATATGTCAAGGGAATCCAGGGTTCATGTTAAGGAAGGAATCTGTAGAAAAAGCAAGCATTAGACTCATAGAATCAACCAGGTTAGAAAAGACCTTTAACATCATCAAGTCCAACCCTGCATCTTGTATTAATTTCAGTCGGAATCTAATCAACAAGCTGGTCAGTTACCGAGTGCGGTGGATAATGAGAGCGGTGTTTGCTGCATAATTACTCCTGGCTGCAGAAGTGCGGAGCATCCCCGCTCTGCGCGGGTCTGGCCGCGCGTTGCCAGTTCCCCCCCACACACACCACTTTTCACCCGTCACTCCTACAGAAGCTGTCTGGTCCTCAAGCATCGGGTGCCGGGGTGAAATAACCCGGCGAAGTTCCCAATCGCCAGGAGAAGTGTGCTGTGCCATGACGTTGCAGAGATCCTTTCTATTTAGTTGGGCGAACAATAAACGTTTATTATCACGGCGGCAGATCATCAGACAAAGCTTTCCCCTCCCGCCTCTTCCCCCCCCCCCCCCCCCCCCAAGTGCCAGCGCTGCTGATAAGGGAACGCTCCGGGTGACAGGCAGAGCCGCAGGCACCGTTTGGAAATAACTTCTTTTATTATTATTATTATTACTATTTTTCTCCCCCCCCCCCCCCGATCCCCATCCCCGGTTCGCCTTTTGCGAACGCGTGCGGGGGGGCGGCGGGTGTCAGCGCGGAGATTGCGCTGCCGCGGAGCCGCCCGCCCGGCTCGGTGCCTCGCAGCCGCCGGGCGCTACCGTTCGGGCACACGCGGGGAACCAAGCGCGCTGGATGTGTACTTTGAAGCCTTTTTCTCGCCTTAGATTCTGATGGCACTTGGGGTTTTTGATGGCACCGGGGAGGCCCGGCACAGGAGCGAGCGCCTCTGCTTGAGCTCGGAGCCTTTTGCTGTGTCTTTCTTTGATTTTCTTTCTCTTTGCCGCTCTCCTTTCCGCCCTCCCTCCTCTTGGTAGCACATCGAGTCAGTGTGAGTCAGGACTTGTAAAATGCGTTTCCAAAGCCCAGATGAAAAGTCTCTCAGGCGTGGCTGCTGCTTTATCGGAGCTCTCCCAAGCCCACCTATGCAAATAGATTTGTAATATTTGTGTGTTTAACCGTGTATCTCTCTTACAGGAATCTGTTGCTGCGTGTGACATCGCTTGCAAGCTCCCAGAGAGAACTGATGGAGCACACGGCCAGGGAATAGGATGCCAGAGAAGCACAGAGGGAGAAACCAGGCGGTCACCAGGTAAACTCAGCCTTACTTTGATTTATTTCACCTCGCCTGCGAGACCTTGCCCACTCCAGTGAGGCAGCAGGAGAGCAGAGGGACTGGACGCGTGTATATTAAACGCCTGCTCCTCTCATTTGCCTCCGCAGGATGGGAAGGTTCAGCGTCCATTGGATATGGGACAAGATCACTCGGCAACCCTTGTGGATTCTCCTTCTTCTAGAGGGGAATTATAGTTATGGATTTATTGTCCCGGTGCAGCACTTCCACCGCCACCACCAGCAACAGCAGCAGCTTTCTGACTCTCTTCGGTGACGGGTATTCTTGGGTGGATAATACGGATTACGTTGTTATTGCTTAAGAATACGCGTAGTCGAGGAGAGTACCGGCGGCGGGCAGGCAGGCAGGCAGCGCGACCGCCCCCAGCCCACCAGCTGGCTCCTAACCTCCTCTAGTTGCCAAGGTAGCACCTTTTCCATCTTTTCCTACGCTTTGCAATGTTTCACTCTGTCTGTGTCTCTGCCAGGGCGGGGGGAGCTCGGACGCCCTGCTCCCCTGCGGAAGGTGGGGGGGTGATGCCCGCTCCTCCGTGTGTGCGTGTGTGTGTGTGTGTGTGTGTGTGAGTGTGAGCAAGCCCGCGGCTGGGGAGACGGGGAAGGCTTTGTCAAGCCTCTTAGGAACAAACACACCGCAACCGGCCCTCGGGGTGCCGGGGCAGCCGCGGGGGGCGAAGCTGCTCGCCGCTGCTGAGAAGCCCCGGCACCGACCGGCCCGCGGTCCCCCGCTCCTCTCCGGCAGGGACAGGGGGACCCGGGGGTCCCCACGGAAGGACACGGGCTGCCCGCAGGGTCGGGGCGGCCCCGGCTCCGCCTGTGCCTGCCGTCGGAGCCCGGGATGCCGCCCCACCGCAGCCGCGTTGTGCGGGATGGGGAGGCGGCGAGCAGCCCGCACACCCACTGGGGACACTCCCGTTCCCCGCCTGGGTCGCTGCTAGGGAGCAGATTGTGGCCGGTTGCTTCGTGGGGGTTATGCCCCCCTTACCCTCACCCTATGGTACCAGCCCGGTGGGAGCAGGATTAGAAGCCAGCTTCTCGCTCAGCTGGTCGGGAAGCACCCAGAGCTCATCAGCCTGAGGCCCTACCTTGTTCAGGGCCAAGAGGTTGTTTCCCCAGCTGGAGCTCAGGTGGTGGCTTCTTTGCCCCTCCCCATACCCCCAAGAGCTCAGGACTCCCCAAATGCTACTTGCAGGCGGGAGACACAAGCAAGGGAGCGTTGATTTCCATCACTAGCCAAGCCATGCCTCATCTCCAACACAGAAGAAGAGGTGCATCTGTCCCTCTCTCCAGTCTCAGCAGCAGGGCACAGCCTTTGGTTAAAGCCTGGTTAGCCTCTCAGATGCTGTGTTTAGGAAAATGCAGGCATAGCATTCATGCCTCCAGTCTTTTTCCCCTGCTCCTCTGCCCCCAAGACTGGCAGAGACAAGGAGCAGGGTGTGATCATCCCTATGTTTCCCTATTTGAGACCTCTCCGCACGCCCAGATGATCCCAGCTTTTGCTACCTCGTAGTTGCAATTGTGAGACCATGTTTCAGCCTGAAATGAATTAGATCAGGAGCCATTTTAAAGCAGGACCAAGAGTACTGTGATGAGATAGCCTTTTTGAATGGATCCTTCCCATAAGCTCAGGCTAAGAATGATTTTTAACATGGATGAGCCAGACATGGGGTGAGCGTTAGGTCGTGAGCAAGAGGTGGGATGATGGAGAATGTCTTTCTCTCTGTCTCTTGCTTAGCAATTGAAAGGCCATCTACGTTCTGCTTAATTATTTCCAACAACTGCCAAAGGAATCTTACTCTGTTGCCTTCAGTAGCTAGTGGAGTGCTCGTTGTTACACAGATGTGTGGATCTGTTATTCTTTAGACACATCTTTGATGCTAGCACTCTGATCCTCGTGTTTCTCTAATACCACTTGAAAGCAGATCTTTTTCCTTGTAGTTTAGTATGTTCAACAGCCTCAGAAATAATGTTAAATTACGCTTTAAAAAGACACCATCAGCTGCTAAATCCTAGTCAGTTCAGCACCATAACACAAGCCACATTCACAAGCGCTGCAGGAACAGCGATGGAAAGCACTGTTTTAAACAGCCAGGTTTGTATTACAAACCTTCCTCTGATCTGAGTTTTCAGTTGACATTTTCCCTTGAGTCATGACTTGGAGTATTATCAGGAGTTCCCATTTCATCACATAAAGGATGTGGTTTTGTTTGCTCTTTGCTTGGTTGAGTATCTTGTGCAGTATGGATTGGACTGGTCTCCATAAATACAAGCTTGGCAAAACGTTCCTTTTATACCTAGTTCCTTCTGGTTGCTTTCTGTTTAGCATGATGAGCTGGTTTTGCTGAATAATGCCTTAATGACAGGGCTGATGCATTTTTAATGCGTGTACTCTTTGTCACTGTCAAAATTAACATTTTGATGATTGTGGATTTCTTTCCTCTAAAACCTGTGGGGAATTGCTCTGATACTGTGGGTTACGAGAGCGAAACTGTAAGGTCCGATCGGAGAAATACTGGATGTGCTCCCCAAAAGAACCATGAACTATTGTGAGCAGCAGGAGGGCTCTTGGAATGATGTTTCCCAATAGCATGGCCTCAGAGTGGCTCTCCCTGTTCATTAGCAGGTCCTGGGGTCTGTCACGTCTCTATAGTGGAGGACAGAAGCAGTCATTGCTGAACAACACATCTCTAAGAAGAGATTATTGCTACTGCAGGCCTGACCTGGGGAACGCACATAGCGCCCATGCCCATGCTCAGGGGAGCAAGGTTGCTTCTGTTAAATCCAAATATCTGGGGCCAAATCCATTGCACTTGATGCAACAGTAAAGCCCCAATTGATTTCACTGCGGGAAAGATTAGACCCCTAGTGAAAAGGGTTTTTACAGCACTACACTCCCTATTTTTTTTGCCTTAGAAATTGCGAATCCTGTGTGCTAAAAAATTACTCTAAACCTCCCTGCCTCTAATGAGATTCCATGAACAGCAAAACAATACTACTAAAAGGCTGGAGTGCTGCATAATAAGAAATTACTTTATCAATAAGGGGTTTTAATTGTACCAGTACGAGTATTCTCTAAGACAACATTGTAGAATGAGGCTTGTGGCAGCCCCAGCCGCGTGTTAACAGCTATTTTGGCGAATGCATATTTCATTTGTTCAGAATACTGGATTTCTGTTCGAAAATTGGGTTTTTTTTGTTACCTGCATCCTGATAGAAAATTAAATAAAGAATTAGCCCCAAAGAATTACTGGAACTTGGCCTTTTGGGGGTTCTTTTTAAAGGCCATAATCCTATGAAGATTTCTATCTCTGGGTAATTTTATCCGCTGGAGTAGCCTCCCTCCAAGGCCGCTCCTGTAGGTAAGTCTTTGTCATGCCAGGGCCTCTGTGGCAGCATAGCTGATGGATGGGGGAGCAGGCAGTGGGGTGACAGCCACCCTGGTGCAGAGCAGGGTGCTGCAGGGTCCCCCCAAGCAGCCACCCTGCTCTGCACTGGGGAGGCAGCAGGGATCTGCCCCAAGGGCTGTGCACCTCAGGCACATTGTGCCCCATGATGTGATTTGGAGAAGGAAGAGTAGTTTTGGTCCCTGTTGTCCTGTGCAGACAGAGGAACAGCCCTGTCTGGGTCTACTATAACAGGGAGCATTGCTCTGCTTAGCAATACCCTAAATTAGGTGCCGTTTGATTTTAGGTGCTCTATATACCAATATTTAAGCCTACAACCCTTATATGTACATTCATAGCTCTAAATGGAATGAATATATAATATAGACGTCCCTCTGAAGGGAGGCCGGAGCCTAATATGCAGAGCCCCGCTCTCCCATATAGAGGCACAAGTCCCACTCACCTCAGCAGGGCTGTGCTGTTGTAGTGTGTATTTGTGACCAGTGCTGGGATTCCTCTTGTTGCCTGCAAATTTGCCTACAATAAACACATGGAGATACATACAGTTAGGCAGATAGCTTCCCTTAGGATCAGTTGTGCTTTTTTTCCACTTTGAAGACTATAGCTGATTTTGAGGGAAGTGGAAGGTTTCTTCCCATATCAGTTTAGGTGGCTTCTAGCGTTCATAGGTTTTCCTGAAGGAAATCAGTAATACCTGTACATCCAGAGAACTATACACATGCTTTGCAGCTGTAAGAATAAGCTAACTGAGCCTTTTGTCTCTGTGTTTTTACATCACGCTAGAAATGATCTATGCAAGTGGATTTTGATGCTGCTTTTCTAAGATAAACAGTGACTTTCCACACACAAAAGGCTTTTCCTTCTCTTCCTTCAAAAAGATTGCTGCTTTTCCGAAAAGTAGCTCCCAGGTATTACCCTCAGCTGTTATGACACCTCACCATTTAGTGTTGTAAACTTAATCATAACACTCATTAGTAATAATTCTAATTTATTTTACCAGATTCAGCATCTGCCTCCTGCAAGCTTCAATGGTGGAAACATTCCCTGGGCTAACGCCCGTGCTGCTTGCATGCTTTTTATTGCTATTATTTAGTAACCAAACGGCTCAAAAATCAAAGGACTTGATTATCATGTACCTGCAATGCATAGAGCTATTTATAAATGTTGGCTCGATAGGAACAATGACTCAAAACTTATTCAAATGACAGGCCAAAAATAAGGAGTCTAAAAGTGAAAACCCAAGCCAGAATTCATAGAGGTGATGGGAAGAGCCTGACATCGAAGGACAGAGAGGCTCCTAGGGGAGGTAAAGAGAAGAGGCCTGGAGGTGAGGGTAGAGGGTAAATGTGCTGTGGCTTTGCAGAAAGAGCAGATGAGAGGAGATGCACCAGGCGAAGAGGTATCGCAGTGTGGCGCTGGGAGGATGCACCATGAATGGGGAAAGCAGGGCTGGAACAGCGTGCACAGTTGGTCGTTCGCTGTCTGGAAAAACAGTATCTAGTTAAATGTGACCAAGTGAAAATGAGGTGAAATGTTCCAGAAACCAGAGGGGTTGATTGATGGGAGAAAGAAGAGCCCTCAATATATAGCTGAAAGGAAGTTGTTTCATATATATTTGTGTGCATGTTTGTATATATATATATATATATATATACACATATATATATAAAAATATACATACCTAGCCAAAATGACACAATAATACCCATATAGACAAATGAGTATCCTGCTGTTGAAACCATTCTCCTCCAGTGGGAATTTTCCATGGATTTCAGTGGGCCCAGTGTTTTCTCCTGTCTGGAGGAGTGTGCTGTATTCCGGCATGCACAAATAGACCCAGGAGCTATGTAGGGAGAAAATGCAGCATGGCCATCAAGAAATGTTTCCTTTATAGGGAACCCAGTACCTCCCCAGCCAGCGGGAATGATAGAAAGCAATGGAGCAATCTCCAGGTGGGAAAACCCTTGCCTGGGCGATAGAAAATTATCTTGGCCAAGACACTG